GACTGACATTTGGACCTCGAAAGAGATGAATAGACAGAAGAATAAAGAAGGTACCACAATGCTGAATTGGTAACTGTATGGTATCGAAAATATCTTTAGACATATAAAAGCTAACCGGATAAGATGGGCAGGTCATGTAGTAAGATCAGAGGAAGACAGAGTGCTAAAGACAGCGTTTTTTGAGAAACCAGACTATAGAAGATCAGTAGGCCGTCGCAGAAAAAGATGGAGGGATGGTGTTAAACTCGATTTATCTATAATAGGGGTACAACAATGGGAAAGGGTAGCGCAAGATCGTAAGAGCGCAATATGGAGGGCTATAGTTGATGCGACGAAGACTCGCCCTGAGTTATACAGCCAGTCAAAAAGAAAAGGATTCGTTTACTCGAGATTTTGAGATACTAGTTCCTCACCTGTCTCCATTTTTCTTTATTATATTTCTCAGTACAAAAATATTGTCTGAAGGGCGCTTGTTCTTCTTCTAGGTTTTTTATATTTATCATTTATTATTTTAGTATTTGTATACTTTAAAAGTCAATTGCGCTGAAATATCGATATGTTTCTCCCAATTGCTTCCGTCTTCTTTCTTACTAATTGGGAGAATAAGATTATTTTCCAAATATTTTGGTATTTTATTTTGATTCAATGCTTCATTACGTATGATGCAGAAACAGTCTATGGATTTCTCGACCATCTATTTCATCATTTCTTGTTCTATTCCATCTTCAGTTCAGCTTTCTCATTTTTGTTTCTTCGATGACTTTTTTTCTCTGTTCTTCATATCCTGTTCACTTGTTCCCTTGAGCTTGAGCCATTTAAGTTCAGGCTTCGGTTGTTTCAATTTAAATTTACAAGTGTATATATACTCTTTAAAGACGTTGACTATTTTAATACTAATTTTAAATAAAGTAGTTCATTTTACCATTAGTCAATATTATCACTCTAATCAATTATAAATAACAAATATTTTTATTAAACATGATTGCTTCATTTCAATATAATTACACCTAAAGTTTTTCCACATTCAAGGTTAAATGTTTATTGGGATAGAAAACTGTTGTTTGGTAAATATTATTGTGACTATAATTATATTAGATATTATAAACATAACATTTTAATATTTGAATGACAAATATAAATTAACAATAAGAATTGTTCCTACAGAAACGACTCAATATGTTAAAAATACTATGTAACTATAGTGAAGTCGTTTTACCCTGTCGTATTTCGGATTAACGCCCGAAAAATAATTTATGACTCTAGTTACAGCCACTCTGTTATGCTTTCCCTTTTCTACCTGCTTTGTGGTACCGAACCTCCTACTGGTCGGCTGTAGTACTTGATAAATAAAGAGAACCGCTGACTACCTGAGGCAAATCTGAACAGACATTTTTATTATTTATGCGGCAGGCTAAAACGATCCTACTTTATTACAAATTTCAACACAGTTTACTCAATAATTGAAAAAAAAAATAGTTAAACTAACAGTTCAGTCGGGATATCATTGAACCTTGCACGACGAGCTACCCCAAATTTTATTGTTCTAACCTTTAGGAGAGCCAATCGATCTATCTATGCAGCCCTTGCTGTCCAATTTTGGACATAGGCCTCCTCTTCCTTCTTCCACATCTCTCTATTAGAGGCAGTTTGTATCCACTTCAAGCCTGCGTGTTTCTTCAAGTCATCTGACCATCTCATTTATGGCCTTCCTCTTTTTCTCCTCTTATATGGTCTCCAGTGTATAATCATCTTATTCCATCTGTCGTCTTTCTGTCTTATGGTATGTCCAGCGAACTTCCACTTAAGTTTTGCTATCTGCGTTGACACATCGATCACTTTTGTTTTGTTGCGGATCCAAGTATTTCTTTTCTTGTCTGATAGCCTGATGTTCTGCATTTGCCTTTCCATGGCTCTTTGGGTCTTTGCTATTTTTTCCATGTTTTCCTTTGTAAACGTCCAAGTTTGTGAACCATAGGTGAGAACAGGAAGTATACTTGTTCAAGACTCTTGTTTTTAAATATTGGGGGTATTTTCTATTTTTTAGTATATAGAAAAGTTTTCCGAAGGATACCCAAGCCAACCGTGTCCTTCTGTTTATTTCTCTGGTCTGATTTTCTTTAATTGTCCCAAATATACATATTCTTTTACTTGTTTTATAGTTGTTTGTGCAATTGTTATTATTAATTCGTCTGGTTGGTTGGTCATAAGTTTCGTTTTATTATAATTCATTTGTAGACCTATTTTTGTTGATTCGCTATTTAATTTATACATTATATTTAGTAATTATTCCCTTTTATCTGTTATTAATACAATGTCGTTTGCATATCTCAAGTGATTCAAGTATTAGCCATTTATGTTAATACCCCGTTTTTCCCATTGTAATTTTCGCACAACTTCTTCCAAAGCTTGATTGAATAGTTTGGGTGATATAGTGTCAGCCTGTCTGACTCCTGGCCGTATCTTAATAGGCTCCGTTTGTTCAACTATTTTAATGGATGTTGTTACTTCATCATATATATTGGAAATTAAGTCCGTATATCTATAGTATATTCTCCCATTTTGTAAAGAGTTCTTTACTGCCCAATGTTCCACCTTATCGAATGTTTTTTCAAATTCTACAAATGCCATATACATTGGGATTTGATATTCGTTGGCCTTTTCAATTAATATTTTTATCGTAAGCAGATGGTCGCTTGTACTGAATCCTTTTCTAAAACCGGCTTTCTCTCTTGACTGGTAATTATCTAATTTAGTTGTTAATCTGTTTGTTAGTAGTTTAGTAACAGTTTGTACATTACATTTAGCGTTATGAGCAATATTTCCGTTATTCTCTCTTCGTACGTCTGTTTTCATTGTTTTAGTTTTTCCATATCTAATTTCTGATTATTTTCCATTTTCTTTCTTGTTTCAAATCTACTATCAATGATCAGCTTGACTCGGACTAGTCTATGGTCGCTACCAGTTGAAAAGCGATTTAGGGCTGTTACGTCTTTAACCATGGATTTTTGCGTTGAAGGAATATAATCAATTTCGTTTTTAGTTTCACCATTGGGACTAATCCATGTCCATTTTGGTTGGGGTTTTTTCTTAAAGAATATATTCATTGCATATAATTGCTTCTCCTCCATTTATTCATCAATGTGTGTCCTCTATCATTTCTTTTGCCGTATCCATGGTGCCCTACTTTGTCTTCTTCTTTATATAGTTGTTCTCGTATTTTGGCATTGAAGTCCTCGATTGAATAATTTCCTTCTTACTATCGCTAAACTTTCTTCTAAGTAGCTTCGTATTTTTATTTTCCTCTCCTTCACCTTCATCACCTTTTGTATTTTCTCAGTATTGTACTTCCTGTAATGTTGTGATTACATTATTTACTGTGATTACATTATTTACTTTTAACAAGTTTAACTTTACTGTGGTTCTCTTTTCTCGATGATCACTACCAATGCCAAATTTATTAATAATGATCATCTTTGACATAACTTTTATGTACTGTTATCAAGAAATCTATTTCATTTTTTTATCTTCTCATTTGAGCTTACCCACATCTATCATCTATACTGTTTCTTTTGGTTGATGCCATTCATCAAATACGATTGATGGTTATGAAAAAAATTTAATAGTGTCTGACCTCTCGTTTCAACTTTCCAAACCGTTTTTATACATCTGAACTATTTATTATGTTAGTAACTTATTAATTAATTGATAGATTCGACCGATACTTGATGACAATTCAATTTATTTAACAATAAAACACTGAAAACTTTTGTTTTCAACACTTTCACAAAATTTATTTTAAATTATTATCACTACACCTGTTTCGGCCAGAGTGACTTTCTCAAGTGATCTATTTTTGTATGTGTTTACACTTTATAGTCTTTAACTGAATAAGTTGAGGAGGGGGAGAACTGTTTGTTTTAAGCTAGTCACTCCGAATTATGTCGTTTTTAATTTGTTGGTTTCCATCATCATCATCATCATTAGCCATTTTGCGTCCACTGCTGAACATAGGCCTCTCGTAAATAATTCCATTGCATCCGATCTTGAGCAACTTGAATCCAGTTAGACTGGATGCGCTTTAAATCGTCCGACCACCTTGTTGGAGGACGTCCTCGACTACGATAAGCATCGTGTCTAGGCCTCTTGGTTTCCATAGATTCTAATAAAGATAGCTTGAGGCCTTTATTTTGAATGCGAAGAATTTGAAATTCGTCATTAAAATAATGATTTTGGCCTGGAATCTAGAAGGTGAAGTGCCTTCGCAGAGTCTGTTTTTCTATTATTGAAAGCCCTTTTATATTCTGCTATACGTTTGATAAAAGTTCAGTTTGACCGATGTAAGTTTTTGGGCATTTTAGTTTGTATACATCGCTGTCTAATTGCTTTTTCTTTTGGCTCTTGCTGTTTTTAATATATTTGCTTAAGTTGTTGTTTGTTTTAAAAGCTGGTGTTATTTCTTTCTTTTTCATTGTGTTTGGCTATTCTTGTTGATATCTTGCCTGTTTATGTAATCGAGCAGAAGGTACTGGGCTTTTTCTCTGGTTGGTGGTGGAAATACTAATTGCAGGGCTTTCTTATGTAGGTTTGATTTAAAATTTTATTTATTTTGTGTTTGTTGTTGATATTCAGTACTATCTCAAAGTTATTTTTTACATGAGAATTTATATTAATTTATGTAACATTCTATGGTAGGCAGTCAATTTATGTTGTGAAGGATGGGATGATGAATTGTGTATAGTCGTGTCACTATGAGTATCTCCCCTCCTCAACTTATTCAGTTAGACTATAAAGTGTAAATACATACCAAAAATAGATCACTTCAGAAAGGCACTCTGGCCGAAACAGCTGTAGTGATAATAATTTAAAATAAATTTTGTGGAAATGTTGAAAATAAAAGTTTTTAGTGTTTTATTGTTAGATATTAATTAATTAATTAATTAACTAATTATGAATATATTTATTAACCTATATGAAAATCTTAATTTTTTAATTTATTTTAGCCGCTGCTACAAGTGGTGTCAAAAAATATCATCAAGATGCACCAAGGATTAGTACAAACTAGAACCGTCGGTCATTGGAATATAAATTGTTGTATAAATTGTATAAAAGAAACGTATGCTATTCACAAAGATAAAGGAGCATCGTGTGTACTGATTTGTGCAAAATTATTGGTAATGTATTCATGATATATTTCTTTGCAAATCAATGAGAAAAATAGTTTATTCACATATGTTACTGGTAATGAAAAATGAAACATTTCATGTAAAACATTCAATTAAAAGAAGATATTGAATGTTTTTTGTATTAATTCCCGATCGTTTTAATACTATTATCTTAGAATCAAGGACGATTACACTAGGACTGCTATTTTTGGTATACAGGGTGATCAACTTTTGTGACAGTCCGTTTGATTTATGACGGTGCTATAAAATATACAGGGTGATGCGTTTAAAAATACTGTACCCCTTTTAAATTATATTTTATACAATTTTCAATAATTATACAGGGCGTTGAACTTTCATTGAAATCTGGTTATAACTTTTTAAATGTCCTGTATAACACACAACGACTTTGTATTTTTGTAACAAGAAGGTGAAGCTGATTTTAAAATTAAATTAAAATACAGGATGTTTCATTAAAAAAATATTGTAGCATTTCCAAATTATTTAAAATATATATTGAAATATATTGGGATCCCCTCGTATATGTATTAAATTGAAATCCCCTCATATATGAATTAAAATAACGAAGAATGTTTTCTGTGTTTCTCAGTTCCTATCTTACAAGTTAAAATAAGCAAAAAGTATTTTCAATTTCTTCTTAGGTCGGCTCGAGTTACTATAAACCATTTTAGAGTTGTTTATTTATTTCGCAGCTGCGTATGTTCCTCAATATTTCTTTGTTCAAACCGCCCGATACTGCGTTTTAATTCCTGTCAAGTGTTTTGTTTATTCTAACTTATGTGAATTGATTTTAAAGATAATTTCATCATTCTCGTTGAAGCCGCGGTCAAGAGCGGTGATCTTCAGCGTTATGTCCAAATTCACGTCGAATTTGTAAAGTTTTCTGTTTTTGTCCCTTTTCATAGAAAATTTGTAGCAGTGCGAAGTTAATGGTTCAGTTAAATTTTTAAGTGAGGATTGGAAGAATAGTCGTTTCCACCCTCGTTTTGTTTCTCCCTGGTTGTCATCCTAGGCTTTTTGGCAGTATGGAGATAAATGTGTTCGTGTCCAGAGAGTTCAACCTCAGTTATAGTTCCAGTAACAGTTACAGAAAATTCAAAGTGTTTTAGTGAAAAATCCAGGTAACTTTTTGTTTCAAATTTTAAAGTCAAGATAGACATTTTTTTAATAGTAATAATAATTGCTTTCATTGAAATTAACAAAATGTAATAATTAATATTGTAAATTTTAAGGTTTGTCTTTAGCTGTCATTTAAATTTTTCTGTTTTAAATTTAATGTTAACGTATGACAGCTAGCTTTATTATTTTTTTATTAGTTTGTTTCGGTTAAAAAAAAGGTTAACCTCTATTCCAGTAACAATTTTTTTGTAAATTTATGTAGTATCTCCAAATCCTAGAGTTTGTAAACGGATGACATGTAAGTTTTTTTGTGTATTTTTGTATTTTGCGACTATTGATGTAATAATTTTGCATTGTCTTATTTTTGTAACTCTTTGTGGTGACACAACAATAAATGTTTAATTTTTTTCTTAACATTTTGTTTATTTTTTTTAAACTAACCCTTTTTTGAGTTTCATTTGAAAAAGGTAAGTTTTTCATTTTTAATAATTATTTCGATAGTTACAACTAGCTCTTGTAATAGTTATAATTAGACACCTCGAAGTGGCGTCCTTTTTAAATTACTAGAGGTGTCTCCTGTTTCGTTTTGTTTTTATTTGTCACAAGAGATTCATGACCCTTTGTTTCATTTTTCTGTAGTTGCCCCAATCCAACCCCATTGTCATTGACTTATCTACGACCCCAGCTCTCTTATCAAACCCTGAGTGCCGTTCGCATACGTTTCGATTTATTTTGCTTGCCCTATCTCCACCCCCATAATTTCTTTCCCCAATTTTCTACCCTCATGATCTAACCCTAAGGTAGGCAAAATAATTTTCGTTACAACATATATGATGCGATACAGTGTTATGGAAGATCCTGTATATTTGTAACTAATTGTAAAATGTTTGTAAAATGTAAAAAAATAATTTTTTTGGTATTTCTTATAATAACAGATATAACGAACTGTGTGACAAAAGTTGATCACTCTGTCTAATTTAAATACAAAAGTAAGATAATTTTATTATAAAATAAATTAAAAACTTTTTTCGCAGCTAGACCAAGTCGTTTTTGTATGAGCTATTAAAGAGTACTCCTTAATGTATCTAATCTAAAATGAATGGGACAAACTGAGCCTCTTAAAATATCCCTATAAAATAAGCATCTTTTAAATCATTTAGCGTACATTTAAAAACATAAAACAATATTTCTCAGCCTAAAACAAACATTTCCCGAAACGAAACGAAAGGTTCTCATAACTTATGGGTTGTAACATTTTTTTTATAATTGAAATATGAAATTATTTTTAATCTCTTTACCTCCGTTGCAGATACGCCGTTGGTCGTATTCGCAAATGAGCTGTTAAATTTTATTGGAAACTATCTCAAAATATGGAAGAACTGACTTATTAAATACGCCGGTTTGTTTAATCCTTAGTAAATCCTTTTCCGGTTTTCAAGCGGGTTCCTTTGATAGATTTGTTAACTATTGTCAAACGCACGTTGGTAGTAATTTTTCTGTAAAAATCTAATCCAAAAGATTTATATTTCATCACGTTCCTAGCTAGAAGAGCACCGTTAGTTTCGATGTTCGTTAGAACTTTTTACCTTCTTAGAAATGGATACTGTCCCATAATTTTTAGGTGGGAGATACCCTCACCTTTTTTTGTGTAGTTTGGTAAATTTTTGCAGAAGGAAGAGCACTTATCGTGGGGCGATTTTTGAGGACAGACGCTTCGCTCATATTATCGTCTCTGTGTTACCTTACCGCCTCTGTGCATTTTTTAGTGTGTATACACTTATATAGTTTGAGTTTCTAAATCTAATACTACACTCCGCGTCATTGAAAACGGGCCACCCCAAATATTTAAAATATTTTCGAAATTATTATTTATTGCTACAAAATTAAGCATTTATTTTGTTGTATATTGAATTAACATTATTTTATGTGTTGGGTTTGTGACGTCCTTTCGTAGGAGTCACTATCCGGGTAGTTTTTGGACAGTCAGAGACAGAGTTCAAAATAAAAATAAAACTTTATTGCCTTACGTCCCTTAAACACGTCCACAAGCCGGGGTAGGGGAGAAGAGAACCTTCAGTCAACACCTGACGATTCTGCCTCTATGAGGAAATAATGCGGTTTATATAGCAAAGTTTTGCCCTTTCTACTGTCGATACACTCCTACTTCATGGGTTGGTTCGCGCGCACGCTGGTTTAACGGTGATGGCTTGGACTCATCGTTACAGGTTATTTGAGTTAAATGGGTTGTTGCGAAAGCAAACCGACCCTGTAACTGGATTGAGGATATTCGTAGAACCTATAAAACAAAACAATTTTGAGAAAAAGTTGTTTACAACTTGATCAATTTTCGAGGAAGCGATTGTTTTGAGAAATGTTTGATATTGTAAAGGGTTCTAATGAGTTTTAAACGCATCTCAGTATTACAGTAGCCGAGTTAGTGTAAAGTAGTCTTCAGTTAATAACGATGGAGTATTTTCAGAAATCGGTTGAAATTGTAACGTTACTGGGAAGTGGATTAAGTCAAAGACAAGTTGCAAGACAATTGAATGTTAGTCGTTCGACTGTACAAAGGACCCAGCAACGATTTATTGTCACAGGATCTCACCAACGACGGCCTGGTATGGGTCCAAAAAGGAAAACAACCGCTAGGGAAGGTCACGTCTTCCTTCTTGCTGCATTACGGAAACGGACCCAAACCGCTAGAATGCTTCATGGCCATTTACAGCAAGCTCAAGGACCAGCAATCAGCCTTTCAACTATTCGGCGAAGATTAAGGGAGCAAGGTTTGACAGCTTGCAGTCCAGCAACGTGAACCTTACTTTCCCCAATTCTCAAAAGTCGAAGACTAGATTTTGCTCGTGAGCACATCAATTGGACAGCAGACGATTGGAAAAAAGTATTGTTTACGGATGAGTGTAGAATGTCTATTTGTGGTAAAGACGGACGTAGTAAGGTGTACAGACGAGCTGGAGAACGTTTCGTTGGTTACACTCGGGCACCACGGGTTGCTTTTCGTGGTGGTTCAGTAATGTTTTGGGCAGGGATTTCTTTTGATGCGCATACGGATCTCGTCGTGATCGACAGAGGTGCGTTTACAGCAGTAAGGTACATAACGGAAATCTTACAACATCATGTGATGCCCTATGCTGGATTTATTGGCAACGAATTCCTGCTAATGCAGGATAATGCGAGACCGCACACGACAAGGATAGTAACGGAGTACCTTGACGAGGTTGGTATTCCAAAAATAGACTGGCCTGCTCAAAGCTCCGATTTAAATCCTATTGAGCATTATGGAGCCTGTTAACAAGTCGCGTTAGGCGTCGCATACCTGCTCCAACAACACCTGGAGAGCTCCAGATGGCACTCATTGAGGAATGGTCCACTTTTCCCCAAAGAGATATCCAAAACGTTATAAATTCCATGCCAAATCGAATGAGGAGTGTCATCCAGAATCGAGATGGCAATACCCATTACTGAAAATGGATACCAGCTTTATTTTCAATATACAGTTCATTGTGGTTTTAAAAACTGTAAGTTGATTTTTTCAATAAATTTCCTATTTTTATTAAATTTTTTATTTTCGATTGATGTTATACGATAATGATAAAATTTTATACTAAACGAGTTATTGATTCAATATACGAAAAAATAAATGCTTAATTTTGTAGCAATAAATAATAATTTCGAAAATATTTTAAATATTTGGGGTGTAAATATCTTTCCTTATCTCTTTTCTTTTCTAAGGTTTCTTAATTTTCTTCTTAAACACCAAAAAGTTAAGTGGCGCCCGGTTTCTATCTTATCTTATCTTTTCTAAGTTTACCCATCTATCTTTTTGTTTATTTCTGTATCTTTTCTCATATATCTTATCTTGTCCTATCTTTACTTATTTCGTCCGTTGGACCCATTCCCGGTTCCAAAAGCTAGTTTCGAACCCACGACTCGCTCTCCACCAACCATCTGGCTGCCGTTCGCAGTGTCTCCATTGGTGACCTTTCTAGTACCATCCAAAAAAGGTCTCCGAGGTTACAGGGTCTGTAGATAAAATGTCTTCGGTTTGTAGATATAAGATACCTTGTTAGTTTCTCTATAGTGGAAGCCACAGTAAGAATGCGCTGCAGGTAAGATAGGCAATCTATTTCGTACGGAAGAACGCCGATCACGTTGCCGGTTTGCCACGAGCGGCGCATCAGAAGCGGATTTAAGAATAATAGCACTAAAATATACGCGCACACAACAATTGTATACGGTTGTATAAAAGACTATCATTATTGTTTCAACTAAAGCATAATTCAATCATCGATGCATAAAAAAGAGAGTTACATTGTCGAACTAAACAATAACATGAAGAAAAATACTATAAAAAAGTAAAATATATCAAAAACTCATTGTCGATAGCTTATCTATATTTATCAATTTTCAATAGCTTCCATTGTAAACATATTCTTTGGAAAATAAAGATTATTATTATTTATTATCAAAGTCTTTAGGAGAAGTGAATCAGTTTCAATACCCACTGTCCACGCAAAGCAAACATGTCTCTTTGTCGATTTGGGTACTGGCCATTAGACCAAAAATTTGTTGGCAAAAACTATGAAACCTCAGTTCTATTGGAAGTACCTACATCGTGGAGCCGTTGCCAGTATTTGTCGTGAATTTCAACAGGGCATGACTCTTGGTGTGCAAGTAAAACGCGTGGTGTTAAATGTGTTGAACTATCATCTGAGTTTAAAAAATGGTGATAGCTTGACTATTACTGTGGAAAAAATTTCGAAAATGTAAAGAAAAACATTTTTTAGTCCAATTCACGTGAGAATACTTACGATGAGGAAGTGAAATCTCGAATAAGGAAAATTATCCATGATTTTTTTTTTTGAAAACATACCACCAACCGTCAACAGCATAATGAACTTAGTAAAGGATGATGAGGCCTACCAGCTTTTTCAAAAACTACATTTTGTAGGCTACTAAATGACCTGGGTTTTGAATACAGTAACAGAGGTCGAGATTCGATAATGATGGAAAGAAAAGATAATAAATCCTGCAGACACAAGTACTTCAGACAAATAAAAACATTGAGAAAGAAGGATAATGTAAACCTTGTTAATAACGAGAGTCTTGTATTAACGTCGGTGCTTCAGTAAAAAAGGAATGGAGGGGCACAACGATCAAGAATCCTCGAGATGTCTCGAAAAAAGGGCTCTCTACTGGACCGAAAGCTCCAGCCCAAAGAGGTCGTCGATTTGTTCTTCTTCATGCTGGAAGCGAAACTGGTTTTGTAGTATGAGCCGAATTAACTTTCTTGGCCAAGAAGGAAACCACTGATTACCACGACGAAATGGACGGGGTCCATTCTTCAATATGAAGAATGGTTTGAGAAGACGTTAATTCCAAACTTGCCAAAAGACAAAGAAAATGTTCATACCAGTCCTGCAAATTTGAGTTCCCGAAAAAATTGTGGAACAAAAGGCAAATCAAGGATTGGTTAATCGAACAGAACATTTTTTTTTTTCGAGGAAGATTAACTAAAAAGTGAATTACTGGATACCGCAACCGCATTTAGAGACGAGTATGATAAGTACAAAATTGAAACAATTGCGGAAAAATATGGCGTTAAGCGAAAATATGGCGAAAAACAACAAACCGTATAGCAGAAGACCCTTTGGAAGGTCGGCAAAAAGGGTGGAAAGATAATGTACAGTCAATAACGACTGAAACAGAATAAGAGGCAGACAAGAGTAATCCTAGTCACACGAAGAAGAAAAAGAAGAAATAGGCCGATCCGAAGAAGAAGAAGAGGGCGACCTAAAACCATATCTGGAATATGAACAGGAAGATTGGAGTAAGGGGATGAAGACTCGACAGGGAAAGATAGAAGAATGTTTTGAGACAGGCCAGCGCTCACGAAGGGCTGTAGCACCAACTGATAATGATGATAAGATCAAAATATGAAAAAAAAAATCACTAAACGGTAAAAGAAGTATCGGTCGACCGCGCAAGAGGAGTGGCAACCTTCCATGGAACTATTACGAGTAATTTACCAATAAAAAGTAAAGATCGTGTAACCTTCTAGTTAAGGTCTAGTGTTAGGGTTTTCAGTTAGTTAACACGACTCTTACGTAGTCCTGGTGACCCAGTTAAATTAGAAATTGAAGAATGTTCCAGGAATCGAAGTTAGACTCTCCAGCTTGTTAAGCCAATTACATAGCCACTGAGCTACGGCCGTCACGTACACCACCGACCAATGAACAATTCTTCTTCTTCTTCAAGTGCCCTGTCCGTTGCGAATGTTGGCTATTAACATGGCAATTCTGATCTTGTTTGCGGCGCTTCTGAATAGTTCGACCGATGTGAGCCCGAACCACTTCCGCAGATTTTGGAGCCACGAGTGTCTTCTCCTGCCTGGCCCTCGCTTACTGTCTATTTTTCCCTGGACAATCAATTGCAGCAAAAGGTACTTATCGTGTCTCAATATGTGGCCTAAATATTCAAGCTTTCTTTGTTTAATTGTATTCACGATTTCTTTCTCCTCTCCGATTCTTTGGAGTACCTCTATGTTGGTGACATGTTCGGTCCATATACGAAGAATGCGTCGGTACACCCACATTTCGAATGCTTCTAGTTTTCTCGTGAGCGTCAGCGTCCAGGCCTCCACACCATACAGTAAGATCGGAAAAATGTAGCATTTGACTAGACGTAGTTTTAGGGGAAGAGACAAATCCTTGCTTATGAGGAGCTTTTTCATATTGCTAAATTCTAAATGAACAATTAGAATTTCTTACAGCTGAGAAAAAGATGGCATACATTGTATCTGGTTTGAATCTCTTGTGTCCAACCAACGACTTCATTATGCTATGTTTTGGTTTTAAGTACATAATTTTCATATTCTATTGCCCCTCTTCTTTATCATTCTTTTGATACGCACATTGTTTTAAACACGTAGAGACCCCTGTGTGAAACACATTTTGTTGCTGACTGCGAATATTTTTATAGCATTAAAAGTAATTAAAAATCAAATTACATGACTTGCTTTTAATTAAAGAAAAAATTGTAGTGGTAATTGAAAAAAATGTGAATAAACTATAAATATCGTTAAACTTATTCGAAGCAAAATCTATTCTTATATAATAATTTTCTATATAAATATATTTTTAGGATTCTAAGTCAATAGAGAGAATTAGGGCTGAACAAGTAACACTTTCTAAGGTTTTCAATGTAGTCATCAACCCAAGTGATATGAAAGAAAATGCCAAGATATTAAATTTATGTAAGTTTGTACAAAAATTAATATTGTGATACAAAAGATGCATTTTTTAATTTTTTAAAGATGAATTTTAGCTTTTAAAATTACTTACATACTTGTGGCGTTGTAAATAACAAACAACACTACGAAATTGCATTTTTAGTTGTTGGTACCACCTTAATCGCTTTTAATATATGTATTATATCAAAACTTCGACATTGTTTATAAACTCCTAGATAATTACTTCAACTGTCCCGAAACATGGCTCAATTCATCAACAGCGATATTACACGAAACCAATTTAACCACTTTTCACCATTTACTAAGGCATAACGCATTATTTACTTTCGAGAAACCTAATGAAGGTTTCTCGAACCGTAAACCTATAATAACCGTGAATTGCTATAACAAGTGAGTCATGTTAATATGACTAACTTGTCTATTATTGAAAAATGTAATAAAAAATACTATTAAAAAAGGTAATAAAAAATTATTACCTATTAGAAGTATTAAGAAATAGTAACTTAAATCAAGTATATGTGAAAGCTATTTAGAATATCGAATTACACTGTCCAGCTTTGGCGACATGGACAAAGAAGTAAGACAGGCCATTCACGTTCCGACTTGTGGTCCAACTTAGTGGGACTACTAGTTGGATGTTCGTCTCCACTCACGCTCCGACTTTCTATCCAACTAGCGGTCCAACTTCAGTTCTAGGATGTATCGAATAAACACTACGCAAAATATAATTAGGAGGAGAAAAATGACAGCACTCTGCTTGTTATCTTTATATGTATGTTATGATAATTTAAAAATTAGGTTTAGTTTCTCTAGGTATTTGTCTAGGGCTGAACTAATTAATTTTTTCAACTCTTGATTTTTATGACTTTTTAAGATGTAGGAAAAAATTATAGTTTTTAAAGATTTGTATAGGTATAAAATCTATATTTTATTTGTTTTAAACTGGAGCTGGGATTTATTTTGTTGTGTGTGTGTCGTATATTTTTAATAGGAATAATTGTTCGTGCAATTAAAAGTTATTTTCTATTATTTTTTTGCAAACTAGGGATCTTTTGCTACAACTATGATTTAATTTACATTGTTTGTTGATAATTCTTCCGTAGCCAATCCGGAGTATCGGAAATTTACCTGTATAGGAATGTCCAAAATAGATCTACAGAAAGGAAAATGATTTGCCCTAACAAAAAGGTAATTTTCGTGCAATTGAAAGTTTATTTTCTAATAAATATTTGCGAACTAGAGATCTTTGCGCAAAGTATTTCATAGAAATCTCATACGTAACAGGTGCCGAAAGTCAACTGACTGAGGAAATTTTCGATCCAACTTGTGATCCGACTTCCAACTTCACCATTCACGCTCCGACTTCGTCTCCAGTCGGAAGTCGGATCTTCAAGTCGTCCCACTAGTCGTACCACTAGTTGTCCAACTAATCCAACTAGCCCACTCACGGTCCGATTTCAGATCCAACTGCAGAAGTTGGACCACTAGTCGTACCACAAGTCGGAACGTGAATGGCCTGCATTATGCAGGCCATTCACGTTCCGACTTGTGGTACCACTTAGTAGGACTACTAGTTGGATGTTCGTCTCCACTCACGCTCCGACTTTCTATCCAACTAGCGGTCCAACTTCAGTTCTAGTTTGTTTTCAAGATGGTGTACATCGCTTAATCAAAAAATGTATCGAATAAACAGTACGCAAAATATAATTAGGGGAAGGAAAATGGCAGCATTGTGCTTGTTATTCTTATATGTATGTTATGATATGTATGTTTAAAAATTAGGTTTCGTTTCTCTAGTTATTTGTCTAGGGCTGAACTAATTAATTTTTTCAACTCTTGATTTTTATGACTTTTTAAGATGTAGGAAAAAATTATAGTTTTTAAAGATTTGTGTAGGTATAAAACCTATATTCTATTATAGAAAGAAATAAAAACTTGTTTTAAACTGGAGCTGGGATTTATTTTGTTGTCTGTGTGCCGTTTATTTTAATAGGAATCATTTTTCGTGCAATTGAAAGTTATTTTCTATTATTTATTTGCGAACTAGGGATCTTTGCTACAACTATGATTTAATTTCCATTCATTGTTTGTTGATAATTCTTCTGTAACCAATTCGAAGTGTTGGAAGTTGTACCTGTGTGGGAGTGTCCGAAATAGATCTAGAGAAAGGAAAATGATTTGTTCTAACAAAAAGTAGACGATGATTAAGAATCGTGTATTTTAATAATGGTAATTTTTGTGCAATTGAAAGTTATTTGCAATTTTTTGTTAATAATAAATAAATCCCATACGTAACAGGTGCCGAAGGTCTACTGACCGAGACAATTTTCGATCCAACCTGTGATCCGACTTCCAACTTCACCATTCACGCTCCGACTTCGTCGCCAGTCGGAAGTCGGATCTTCAAGTCGTCCCACTAGTCGTACCACTAGTTGTCCAACTAATCCAACTAGCCCACTCACGGTCCGATTTCAGATCCAACTGCAGAAGTTGGACCACTAGTCGTACCACAAGTCGGAACGTGAATGGCCTGCATTAGAGATCAAATACAAAAAGCAAGTAAACTGGCAGGATGTTTTAATAACACTATATCGCGAAACAGACAAATTAACACTAAGATGAAGTCAATAATTCATAAAGCCAGTCTAAGACCGATAATGACATATATCTCTGAGAAGAAATACGCTGAGACATTGAAAGATAAGTGAAGACATTAGAAGAAAATGTAACGTACAAGGTATAAACGAATGGACACTAAATAGAAAAAAAGAATGGAATAACTACATAAGCATAATATGGGAAATCCATGTCGTCGTATATCTCTATAAATACACACAACGCAAAAGTCCAGGGATATTTTTATAAATAGACGTATTTTGTTTATCTGTAACCAACTTAAAAAAATAATACAAAATGTGTAGTTTAAATTGTTGTTTAATATGTCAAAAACCATGAATTGCAAAAAACAAACAGAAAATTGGAGCAAAAAAATATATTGCAAATCACCCATGTTTCACATACCACCATAAAATGTCAAAAATACGAAATATAAACTTAAAGTAAAGTATGGCCACCACGTTGGTTTATCACAGCTCTTCATATTTTGTTCATGCTCCGAATCACATTGTTAATGTCTGCTTGAGGTAGTTGTGTCTATTGTTCTCTCAGAAGCTCTTTTAACTGAAACTCATTGTAGATATTGCCCATATGTGGAGTAATTCTTTGTTGGAGCATGTCCCATACATGCTCAATGGCATTCAAGTCCGGTGATTGTGCTAGCCACTGCAATACATCAATATCCTCGTTATCCAACCAGTTTGTTACAATATGCGCAACATGTGGTCGAGCGTTATCATGTATAAAGCAAAAATTTTCTCCAACAGCAGCAGCAAACGGGTGCACAACAGGTTCAAGAATAGTGTCCAAATATTGCTGACTTGTGAGAAAGCCACGTGGGAAAATGAGGTCAGTTCTTCCGTCAATCATGATTCCGCCTTATACCATTAATGTACCACCTCTGTATGCAGAGGTGGTACATTAATGGTATACATGGTGCATACACTTCTTGAAGATGTCGTAATCGTTCTGCATTTCCGGGTCATCTCCAAACTCTTGTCCGACGAGAATCTGGATGAAATCCATATCTAGACTCGTCACTAAACAAAACTGTGGCCCAGTCATTGTCAGTGCAATTCTGAAACTCTTGACACCAGGTTAATCTTGCAGCGCAATTGCCTCTAGATAGAGGTGCACATCTCAGTGGTCGCCGACTACGAAGATTGGTTTCATGGAGACGATTCCACACAGTACTGCTGCTAATTGTTACATTATGTGCAAGCTGTAATTCGTTAACCAGTTCGGGTGCTGTGATTGTTAACTGTTTTCTGACATTTAAAATTAAATATCGGTCTTGAGCGACGGTTGTAGAGCGACCACGGTCTGGATGTTGCTCGGCTGGACTCCCAGTGTCTCTAAACCGACGCCACAAACGACTTACTACGCTTTGAGAGACACTCAGCTGGTCAGCAACTTGAGTTTGTCGCATACCAACTTGAAGGAGGCCGACGCGATGGCTCTATCCATCTCGTCCAACGTTAAATGTTGTCTGTTAAATGTTAAAAGACAATATCTTTATCTCACCGATTAAGCAAGAATGGTATAAAGTGACTAAAATTATAAATAAACAAAACATAAAAATGTCGATTTTTTTTGTCCCTTATAAAAAACATTCTTAAACACGTATTGCTATCAGTTTTACAATTTTGTTTTGATAAGAAGTGAGTGTCTGTATCAACAATTTATAGTACAAGCAAATTTATATGGTCATGAAATTTCTGTCATTGGTATTGTCAAATTATTAAAATATCCTAAGACTTTTGCGTTGTGAGTAATATAGCAGTGGTAAAAGTGCGGTCATCAGACATCAGGACATCAGAATTTTTCCTGGTGAATAAAGGATTGAGACGGGGTTGCTGTTTATCCTCAACTCTATTTAAAATATAAATTCATGATGCACTAGATACCTGGCGCAATGGATGTAGAGATGGGGCAAGCCACTCTGCTCACCTGACTATTTGCAGATGATCAAATATTTATGGCCAACGATGAGGAAGACATTGGATTTATGATAAGTAAACTACTGGAGGAACATTGAAAGTGTTTGAGAATAAATTTTTAGGAACTGATCATCTATGCGTTAGAGCAATCAGCACCTAACATAGAAATAGAAGTCCATGAAATCAGAACATGTTAGGAATGTACATATTTATCTAGTAAATCTTATATCATGTGAAGGGACGTCTGATAGAGATATACAGAAAGAATATCGAAAGACAAAGCGGCAAATCACAAGATTTGCCGCTTTTTAAATAATTCTTTGTTTGCCAACAATAAAAGCAACTTTTACATGTTTTAAAAAATGAAAGAAAAAAATTATAATAAAAATTTTCTAAAAAATTAAAATATGACTTATGCAGTTAAAAAATTATCATTTAAAATAATAATTCAAGCTTTGTATATACCTATCATTATTATAATAACAAAGTAGTTGATGTAGCAAATTGATGAAGGTTAAAGTAATTAAGAGGCGTTATTTAATTTTGAAATTATTTTTCTTAAGTCTGATATTTGCTGGATAATATAATAGACGAATGTAATAAGCAATATTACTTATCGTTATTATGTTCCGCAGACAAAGGTGATCCATCGCCGTTAAAAAGACTCGAAAATGTTTTTTAAGCATCCGACTATTCATAAGAATCTGAAGGAAAACCATATCTCACGTAGGTCTTATGTCCATCAGAAGAGAATTTCAATTAGACAAAAAAGGCAGTGAAATAGTTAAAGATGTCTTCTTTCGCCTTCTGTAAAGAGGTAAAAACAAGGGAACTGTTAGTGCTTCATTTACACTAAAAACTGATAGGATAAAGCTTATAGAATAATTATAAAAGCTTACCTGATAACAATCGGGAGAACACGACAGTAGCTATTCATTTTGCCATCAGATATGAAATGATGCCTTGTTTTTCATAAACCGGCTTTCTTCTCGAAATTATGCCACATTTGTTTATCATTCTATAGAGTTAATCAATCAGGCAAGAACGGCTTGCATCATTTCGCAAGAATTGACGGTCAGGACGATTTTAATTGCCAAAAGACATTTGTCTTTCTGAGACTCCGGAGTCACCAGATCACTTCACTTGTACATTGTTCACTGCTTACTGAACTGCTACGGGGACTTGAGACGAGGGACGGTCCACTGATATTGTCGATGGTGACTGGTTCACTGCCGAGGCGATTGGGTGAGAGCACCAAGGTTCTTGCCGTCCTGAAGGCAATTCGGCACCATCTCTTTTATTAAGACAACTCTGGCGGTTCAAAATCAATTTTGTGATCTGTATGGAGATTATGTTGGCCTAAGACTGAAATTGAATTGGAATTGCGAATACAAATAAAATGTTGACACATTGTATTTTGCATTCTTCGATTGATTTGGCTTATATAATATCGTAGGCAGTCTTCACCAAGAATTTCATAAACTCCGTGTTGTTCATTTGAAATGTTGTCTTTGATGGATCGGATAAGAGATGAAAGTTTTTGTTAACGGTTCAGAAGATGATTTAGAGCACTGCTTCGTACAGTGGAAGACTTACATGACGCAGTTTAGGGATGCGAAAGGAGACTATATCGAAGGGAAAAATGGAAAGTTATAACAAACTGCTAAATAAAGATGTTATACCAACAGCCTCAGAACCTAATTACCAGACCTTGTAATGATTCTCATTCAAAACTCTCTTCCACTAACTTTCACTTTAAAAAAGTCTTTGGGAATAGAATATTGAAGGACATAGAAGCTTTTTGGAAAGAAAAAATACTGTTGAACGCTAGAAAATGTGTAATTGACAATGCAGGACTCAAAATCTCGGTGCATCATCTGTAGTTTCATCTTATAATTTTATCATGCTAACATAAAAAACAAAGATGCAAATCTTCTTTTTCATTCTATTTATAAGCAATTCTGCTTGTTCATTGGCGTCAATCCGAAAAGATACAGTGACAACCTTTACGGAAGGTTGTCACTGTATCTTTTGCGCAGTCCTCCTTTTACACTAGCTTTATAAATTCTTCACTTCATCTCAGTGTTAATATGTCGGTTTGGCCATATAGTGCTTTTAAGGCATCCAGCCAGTCTATTTGCTTTTTGTACTTGATCTCTCACTTCTTTATCCGGGTCTCCATATCTGGACAGTGTAATTCCAAGGTATTTTATTTCCATTACTTGTTCAATACTGATGTCATCAATTTCTGTTTTAGATCTGGTTGGTTCTTTGCTAATTACTATTGTTTTAGTTTTCTGTGTTGAGATTTTTACATTAATTTCCTTTACTTTTGTGTTAAGTTTGTAGACTACTTTTTTCAGACTTCATCTTCGTCTTGGAATATCAATATTGCTTCGCCTGCGTAACAGGGTATTTTAACTTCTTTGTTTCCCATTCTGTATCCAAATGAAGTCTCTGATGGGAAAATCCCTATAATTATGAAGCCGTCCACCTGGCACAGGATCTCCAATGGAGGCAGCAAGATAATAATATTTGGAGTGTCACCACGCCCTGACAAGGGCTCAATGAATGAGGAGGAGGAGATTCTTATTCCGCTGCCTATGTCTATAGGTTCTGTAAGTTGTCTATCTATTCTAACTTCCATTTTGTTGCTTTGGTAGATGTTTTCGATAGTTTTTATGATATCTAGGGGAACTTCCCTATTATACAGAAGATGGATTACATCTTTTGAGTCTGACTCTGTCAAATGCTTTGTTTAATTCTAAAGATGTAAATAGAATAACACAAGGAAGAGAAAGAGAGGAGACGGCAACAAAGATGAACTGTTTATTTTAATGTGTCGTATCTGTCGGCGTCAGTGGTGTGAGCCACTATTCAGCTTACACTACTGATGCCGAAATCTTAAATTAATTTACACAATTTACATACGTGTTGTCTCGTTTTGTTTTGTCTTTACTTGTATCTAGTGTACTTTTGGAGCAACCTATTACTAAGTAATTAGCTGGTGTAGATGGAGAAATGAATGTACCACCCCCCCTCCCAGGAATGGAATATGTCTGGAGTGGCTTGTACCTGTTCTCTGACCTCTCTCATTAAGTTCAAGATCCTTCTCGCTCCTTCCTGCCTATCGCTCTGCAGAAGGATGGTTACAGCACCTTACAGACCAAGTCCGGTGCAGACGTGAGTAGGGTGGCGCGACTGGGTTGCTACGGCAATCACGGAGCGCAGACGGAGAGCGATAGATGGGAATTATGAGCAAAGATGACAGGTCAGATGGTAATGCTCGCTAAGAGCGGTCCCAGGCCCGTCGGTTGGAGAAAGAGGGGGTGAGTTTAGTTGGTAGGCTATCAACTACCGTAAGGCGTAGTCGTCCGAATCCAACACACCTGGGACACCTTCTCAGAGGTCTTTTGAAGATTCTCACCTCCCCAAAAAAAATAGAATAACAAACTAAGATTGGACAGAACAGAAACAGATATTTGATTATTCATTTCTTAAGTCTATTATTGATATATTTTACTGTTTTGCTTTCGCCGTTTATTTTTTCCAGAATATGTCGTCCAACTTAAAATATATGTACTTTCTCTGTTTTTAATGTTATACATACATTTTCTGTTGGCATTATGCAACAACTGTAATCTTTACAGCAAATCTTTAACACATTCCGTTCCTATATCCCGTATCTCCAATTATTCCGCTAAAGAAAATTCGCGTTCGAATCCCAAGATACAAACTTTAAATTTAAATAATTGGTGAAATGGTGAAGCTATTTATTGTTAAAAACAATATTCATTGTTTCCTAATGTTTCAGATCATTGTGACATAGAGGCCATCGTTAAAAGTATTAGAGAGCATATGTCAGAATTTTTAAGAAGAGAAATGGTTGCGGTGGAAGAAAGGATTAAGAAATATTCAGAAGAACAATACGAGATATTAAATAATCTTAAAGATGCGGCGTACGAAGAACACGATTCGTTAGTAAAGTAAGTTTAATAACATTTCTAATATAAATGCATTTTGTTTAAATTTTTGGTTGAAGCAGTTATTAGTTAAACAATTACTAGTGAAAATAGTAAAGAATCGTTTTTGCAGGTTTCACTGACATTTGCACATGCTTCTTTTTGATGAGCTGCTCTTGACATAGATCACACTGACGATTTCCAATTATGAAAAATCGTGAGCGATTTCAATTATCTTGTCTCTGCAACATTTAGAGTACCAAACGCCAGTATCATTTTTCGACGCCTTTGTTTTGTTTCTTATTTAAATTATCCTTTTATATTTATGCGTTAAATACCTCGACCAGTATTCAACACGAAAGATATAAATGAAATAATACAAAAATTAACGAATGACATAACATCAACTGCAAAAAAGATCTGTGATAAAAATAAAAATCCCAGAAAAACGAAACTGAAACAAACAACACTTAATTTGATGGAAGAAAGAAGAACATCGAAAGAATTACCAGAGTATAAAGCTATCAACAATAAAGTTAAAAAAAGCATAAGGTCAGACTTGCGGGCTTATAAAACAAAACAAATATTGCAAACCATCGAAAACAATAGAAACATGAGAGTATTGAAATCAAATTTAACTAAAGGAAAATCAAAGATAACTAAAATCAAAAATCAACAGGGGAATACGGTGACCGAAAAATTTCAAATAATCAAGGAAATACAAACGTTCTATAAGAATCTTTATACATCTACTATACAGAACCCCGAAACAGACCACAGAACAATTCTAAACGTCGGCTCGGAAACCCTCCCTAAAATAACCTCTTCGGATATTAGACATGCCTTACAGCAAATGAAAAACAAAAAAGCTCCTGGCGAGGATCGTATAACGTCTAAAATGTTAAAAATGGGCGACAACATCGTTGTAGAAGTTGTGGAAGTCTTACTGAATAAGTGTCTAACAGAAAAAAGAATACCCAGCCTATCGGAAAACGCCGAAATAATACTTTTACACAAGAAAGGAGACACTACTAATATTGAAAACTACAGACCTATAAGTTTCTTGTCACACTTATACAAATTGTTAACAAGAACAATAACCAACCACATAACACAAAAACTTGATTTATATCAACCGGTTGAACAGGCGGGATTTAGAAAAGGGTTTGGTGCTAATGATCACTTACAAACCATCAGAACACTAGTAGAAAAAACCACAGAATATAATGTTCCTTTACATATGGCATTTATCGACTTTCACAAGGCTTTCGATAGTATTGAGACTTGGTCCTTTTTGTCAGCCCTGAAGGATGCTCGAATAGACTCACGGTACACTACACTCATTAAAAACATTTATGAACAGGCCACATTCCACATCAAAATCAATGAAGACGAAAAAACTGAAAAAATGCGCCTTGATAAAGGTATTAGACAAACTATTTCACCAAAGCTTTTTACCTTAGCATTGGAAAATGTATTCAAACAGCTTGACTGGGAGGAAAAAGGTCTAAACATTGATGGTGTACGTTTGAGTCATTTGAGGTTTGCGGATAGTTTGCGACATAGTATTATTTAGTACAGATATCAAGGAACTGGAGCAAATGTTGAAGGAATTAAACCAGCAGTCAAATAAAATAGGTCTCAAAATGAACCTTCAGAAAACAAAAATAATGAGTAATTTACAAACTAATCTTGTTATTGACAACGTCAGTCTTGAAAATGTAGACCACTATATATATATATATATATATATATATATATATATATATATATATATATATATATATATATATAGATATATATATAAATAGAGTGTGTATAACGAGGCTAAGAATACAATTCTTTGGAGGGTAACTTTCGGGAAAGCGTCAAAACAAGGATCAGCTAGAGATGGTATAAGCCAGTTTGGTGTAGAACTTTATTCTAAATGTGAAATTTTCGGTGATATGTTTTCACCTTCATCAGCACCTAAATGGAAAACCTATTATAGTACAGTGGTGGAAATCAACATTTAAAAACCTACATTGAAAATGTTCAGTTGGTCCTAGTGGTAAAGAACACTGTCACAAACATGTTAAAAATATTAAAAAATACATTTAAAATTTTGAATAAAAACATTACAACACAACAGGGTAGTTTTTTAAATACAAACACAACAAAAAGTCTAAAATTTACAACCTACAAAAAATGTCATCAAAATGTCATCAAAAAAGAAGATTAATTCTTCTTTTCTATTTGCAGTTTTTGTAGGTTGTAAATTTTAGACTTTTTGTTGTGTTTTTATTTAAAAAACTCCCTGTTGTGTTGTAATGTTTTTATTCAAAATTTTAAATGTATTTTTTAATATTTTTAACATGTTTGTGACAGTGTTCTTTACCACTAGGACCAACTGAACATTTTCAATGTAGGTTTTTAAATGTTGATTTCCACCACTGTACTATAATAGGTTTTCCATTTAGGTGCTGATGAAGGTGAAAACATATCACCGAAAATTTCACATTTAGAATAAAGTTCTACACCAAACTGGCTTATACCATCTCTAGCTGATCCTTGTTTTGACGCTTTCCCGAAAGTTACCCTCCAAAGAATTATATATATATATATATATATATATATATATATATATATATATATATATATATATATATATATATATCTTGGACATACCATTAAAATCGGCAAAGAAAATCAAATAGCCGAAATAAAAAGACGCATACAACTGTCTTGGGGAGCTTTCGGCAAATTAAGCTTTATTTTGAAGAATAAAGATATACCAATGTGTCTAAAACGTAGAGTTTATGACAAATGTATCTTGCCTGTAACTACATATGGACTGGAGACCATGGCCTTCACAAAGAAAGCCTTAGAGCAGCTCAGTACAACCCAAAGAGCAATGGAGAGGGCCATGCTAGGGATTAGTTTGAGAGACAGGATTCGAAATAACGTCATTCGTGAAAGAACAAAAATTACTGATGTCTCAGAACGTATTGCAAGGCTCAAGTGGCAATGGGTCGGACACGTTGTCCGAGATAATCCCGAAAAATGGACACAAAGATTAACAAACTGGAGACCAAGAGAGAACAGGCGAGGAGTAAGCAGACCGCAGAAGAGGTGGACAGACGATATCAAACAAGTCGCGGGCAAGCAGTGGATGAGAATTGCCAAAAGTAGAAATCGATGGAAGCAAATGGAAGAGGCCTATGCCCAGCAGTGGACGAACACAGGCTGAAGAAGAAGAAGAAGATTCATGTGTTTTGAGGACTTTAGTATGGGATTCATTGGCAGAGTTGAAATCTATTACTGAATTGATTTGAAAAAGTTTCGCACCATTTATTACTGATATAATGAATTACAAACTTCAACAAAAGTATTCAAAATTGCCTGTCTGTTAGGTCATTCATAGATCGCTGAACGGACGACATCCTTAGGAAAATTATCCACAGCTTGTATCGGCGCCTGTTTCGATGACTCCAGATTATGGTGACGTCTTGTACATATGTCACCATTCCCTCTAAAACTGACCACAATTTGTAGTTAAGTGGATTAAGGTCTGGGCTGGCCGACGACCAATGATCATTATTTACTACTAAATTCGGGTACATGATTTTTAAGCCTCTGCTGAGTAGTTTTGGCCTTATGCGCAGGTGCAGAGTTCTGTTGGAATATCCATGGTCTATTTTTTAGAATATAGTGTGGTTTAGGGTGCTCAGGAAGATGCCAGAACTCATGACTGAAAGACATGAGGAGATGTTTTGACCGCTCGTCCTTAAAATCGCCTATCTTTCGTCCAGCAGTTTCCAAAGGTACAATTGCCATGTTTAAGAGACGATACAATAAAAAGAAGAAGTAGTTTAGGCGCTCCTAACATTTGTTTAACTGTCCCGCTGATAATTTAACGCCTATGTTCTAAGGTCCTTTTCACAAAAATATAAAAAAGTGACGTCGTTATAGGACACTCCCCATCAAACCATCACTGAAGCAGGATAAGGACCTCGTTCAATCTTTGGTACCACTTCGCGGGTTTCTTTGGATAACCATTGATAAACTCTATCGTTTTGCTTATTGAAAGTTTCCTCCACACTAAAAATGTTTTCATCTGTAAAGAGGATTTCTTTGTAACGCTCTTTGCCTTGCAACAAATACAGGCGTCTTTATTTTTTTTTTCCTATTATGTCTTAATGCAATGACAAGGCGTTCTACTGTTCGTGTGCAGACTACCCCCGACCTTATATAGGCCAAACAAATCGTAGAATCCAAAATAGGATTTATGAGCATTCCATTTCTGTTCGCAATTCCGATTCAATTTCAACTCTAGGTCAACACAATCTTCATACACGTCACAAAATTGATTTTGAAAACGCCAGAACCAAGAATTATCCGACCAGATTGTCTCAATAAAAGAGATGACGGCATCCGGAGACGACAAAATGCAGCCTTCAAAAATGTTTGCGCCAATTTCGACGCCAATTCCCACGCCTACCACCACCAAAACCACGTCACCATCGACGGTATAAATGAACCGTTCGCTGTTTCCAGTATCAGTTATACTTTTATTCCTTTAAGTAAGCTAAGAAGTTGAGCTATTCTCTGCTGTTACTTCAGGTACTGTAAAGTGTTATGAGGTTTCTTTATTTTCCACATACTCTCCAAACTGACAGGAAAATAAAAGAATATTTACAGAAATTATTGCAGTATAGTATTTCGGCAACAAAATATATAAAAAGAATTCACTATTAGCCCTACATGTCGTGAAAGGAGGCAAACGGTTCTACTTCTATAGAAAAGTTTACATTTGGAAGTGAAATTTTATGATGATGTAGTCGCTTTTCTTGTCTTATTTCTTTCAGTATGTTAAGAACCTTGTTCCAACCTCATCTGTTATGCCATATGCTCTAAAGTAGTGTGACATGTGGTTCTTTAATTCAAAAAAATATTCTAATACGTTCAGAACGGGTCTAATTTTACAAGTAATTACCAATAAAACATTGCAATTTACGTTGCTTCTTGATCTCATGGCAAATAGT